AACAAAAATTTAAAATTTTATTTTGCTGCGCTTTTTGCCAAAATTTTTCTTATTAACTACACAACCTCGGGCTCCATGCCTAGATTTTGACTAAGACATTTGAACAACAAACCACCTTCATCCATCCCTTATAGACTATGAATATAGATTAGCCATCAGCTAGATAGAAGCCTAGCACTGAGTATACTCAATTATGCTATTTTTCGCAAATCGAAGTCTGAATTTCCCCACCATTGCATCCCACAACGTCTTTTGTAAGAGGAACTCCAAAGTTAATTGACTCATGCACGAAAGCCTCCTCATTGCATCGGCGATTTAAGCTCAAGTTCTACCCCAGCACTACAGCTTGCTTATACAGCGTCCTTTTGAGTTAAGAGATTGCCAATAGGTAATCCCAACGCTTGGCTATCTGGAAAACAGCTAAATTGCTTTAAATCGTCATATTATCTACCAAATTAGATTGCCGAGTGAACTCTGCCTCGGTATAAGGGTCAACACACACCTCTACTCCTTAGGCCCTTCGCCCGTGGAAGGCTTCTCGACTATGCGTCATAGTAGAGTCTATTAGAACTCGGCATACAAAATGACCATGCTCATCCGTTGTCAAACCTCAAGAAGTTCTCCCACTGCCATTTAGTTAATTTCGCATCGAGAAGAGTCTATTTCATAACGCACAAACAAAAAGTACTCAGCCTTAACTATTTCCAACCACATAGTGTCTTGATCAGGTATCTCTGAGCAACATTGCATTATGGCGCCTCTTCTCCATTGCGAAGCAGTACAGCCCAGTTTGCTTCTTCTTAATCCTCTTTTTCTCACATGCGCCCTCTTGATCACTCTTACGCTTGGTTTTAGGTTTAAAATTACACTACATATCTTTTAGCATCTATATTTATACAGACAATTTATGAAATGCCTTCTCCAGTAACAGCCAAACTTTATCCAGTAGTTTTCAGCTCTTTGTAAAATCCGATCTTTAGGTCTATTTGCGATAGGTTCTACCAGAGATTTTAATTTTTATTCCAGATCATTCCTAGAGTTCACATTTTCTACTTAGTTTTACCTTCTAAATATTATTTTAGCGGATTATTTTAGCAATATTTTATAGGTTTTATTTTCATTCTCCAAGAAACATTTAAAGAAAACATGCATTATTAAAATTGTCAGCAAAACACTTGTACCTTAAGAGATTATAAAGTTCAGCCAGTTTTTTCAATCCAGAAATTGCCTTCATATGAATTTGTCGAGGCCTAACGAACAAGTCAAATTCTGATGCTTAGCAAAAACCTCATAATAATGTTAGTGATTAATCAATCTGATACCATATTCACGTTTTTATTCTTTTCAATATATATGAATCACAAATAAATCTTTCTTCGCATTCAACTTTCACCATGCTGACTTCCGCCAATTTCAAGATTTATTGAGTAATAAGTTATTATCAATAACTCTAAAATTATGTTTATTGCCTTATATGACATGTGATGGAACCATAATTTAGTATAAATAAATAAATGAGTATTCTACTGCTTTGCAAAAAAATTCATAAAAAGACTCTACCTTTATGTGAGTGACTAACTATGCATTAACATACTCGACTAATTTTTGACTACTTCTGGACAAAAGTGACATTTTGGTCTTACTTATATCAAAATTTCCTCATTTCCTGATTTTTAAGCGTTTGCCTATGTAGAATCTGCGGAGTCATAATTTGGCAAACAATCAGTATTATATTTTAAATGTAAATAAATTACTATACTTCCGCGAAAATCTAGGCTTTTTTTCATAACCTTGCGGCAAGTAATATCGTCTGCAACTTCAATGCGTTATAATGAACCCTGAGGTAAGTCGTTATAGCAGACGCCTCAATGACTATTGATTGAAAATGATTTCATTGACTTCTTAAATCTACTTCTGCATTTCATCAAGTATTCATAAGCAATGAACTATTCTTTTAAATTAAAATCCAAACCAATTATAAATGAAAATTGCCTTTTGGCTATCAGCAAGGTCCTAGTGTGTTAACTATTAAAAGACAAGAATTTCAATTACAAGCTTATTATCATGCTTCCTAATGAGTCAATGGTTATATTATGACCAGGATTTTATTATTATAAATTATAGGTTCTGGGTACGTAAAATAAAATTAGTAAACCGAAGACTTACTCATTCCACCCTTTTGTTATAGGTTTTTTACTGATCATATGGGAGATTTATTTCTTTACATCAGCTGCGAAATAAGCAACCATTATTAGCTGGTTCCAACTACGATCAGTATAAGCAAACTGACTGATTTTACTTAAGCATAATTTACATTAATTATAAAAAGACGAAACATCAATATCTCGAAATTAAAAACAAAAAACTTTGAAGGGTTTTTCAACCTCTTTAATAATATGGATTATAACTTTGACTTCAGCCTAACATGCTGATGGAATCAACAACGCCTAACTTGTGCCACGATTTTCTGATAATTGCTTGTGTAGTTTCTCTTTGTAGCTTTACATTGAAATGCTTCGATTAGCACGGCTCTGATTTAATTTAGCCAATAGATAACTAGTGGGCCTAAAAGAAACTGGCTTTAGAGTGGGAAAACATGCATTTAAATAATTTTTAATAACCATACTAAATTGTGCCTTCATTTGGCTAATAGTAATTTCGTCTGCAGCGCAAAGCCACGTATAAGCAGCCTTGTATAGCATTTTCTCCCAGTTATCGAAAATATGAGACCCTGAAGATGGTTTTCTTAGACATGACAAGGGCATATATGACCTCTATTCTGGGGTACACAATATCTGAGGCTGGCAATTATTTCGAACGGCTGCATAGAATCTTCAATTTGGCCTCTTTCTCTTATCACATTACCAAGCCTAGTTTTTTCTGTAATGACTCATCTAGGACTATATTTGCCGTTACTAGTTTGCTTTAACTTTCGTAGTTCATCATAGACTAACCACAATAAAAAGTAAATGGAGATATTTTAGAAGTTTACTATTTCAAAAAAACTTTCTTGGCGAAATGAGCAGTGATTTTGCCACTTTTCTTATCAATCTTACTCTCGCAGAAAGAAGTGTATTTTAAGGGACGATTTTTGCTTACCAATCTATTATAATACTAAAGTTATCTTATTTGGGAGCCAGAAGTAGATCAGATTTTATTTTTTTCTATTAACGAATCTCACCATGCAAGTAAATGTATCGAAACTAGAATAATTGATATAATGTTCTTTTTATCGTCTTTTGATGAAAACGCATAGTGCTAACCTTCGTGATGTCTCGTTAATATGATATTTGAAAGCTCCAAGCAGTAGGTATATTTCTCCTTGAGGAAAGAAAATGATACTATGATAGAAATTTTTTAAGGTCTTCAGCAAGTGAGTTCGGGACTGGTGGCTACGAAAAAGGACGAAGTCACTTAAATAATATTGGTAGAACTCTCATTGTTTGACAAGTTTGCCACAGTAAAATAAAGAATAAGATCTAGTGAGACATATTTGGTAAACCAGGTAAGGTTACATTCACTGGCGTAATTAACCCTTTTCTTCATTATCTAGCAAAATGATATTCCAACAGGCCTAGAACTAGTAAAGCCACCCATAGTGATCATTAGTTTTAATGGGATGAGAGAAAATTAATAGTTTACCCCTAACATCCTCTCATTTCTGTGGCATTATGTTAATAGGCAACGGGCCACTATTTGGCTTTTGAGGTTAATTGATAATCTTGATAATTTAGTATCCCAGGCAGCGTAGAAATAGCACATTCTCGAGATAATACTGAGAAAAAATTAAACTCTAATTTAGTGAAATAAAGGGCTTTAACTAGCAATATTCAAAGTTCCTATAAATGCAACTCTGATTTTATTTCTTTATTAAATATGGCGTGTTTCTTTCGAATTTACTCCTGTACTTTCCTATTAATGCTCTCGTAAGCTAACAAGACACTTCGTTTAGCAAGCTTAATTGGTTACAAATTTTTTTTCGATACTCCGAAAATAAAAAGCGATTCTAGATAACTGCTTTTCAGCATCCAATTAGTCTAGAGTTTGGAGGTGTATCAATATCAGTCCAGAAGAAATTTACTTTGAACAGTGTTTTATAAATCATGAAAAGCGGTGTGCCAAAGCGAAGGTGATTTTCGAGACAAAATGTTAAAGTACGTGGTCTACAGAGCAAACTATTCTACAGAATTTACCATTTCCCCCATGTATATATTCGATATTTGCGTATATATTCAAAGCATTTCGGCTGTGCCAAACATAATCGGAATCCCGAAGCAATTGCTTAAACAATTAATATTGGTTAACTCATATCAAGCTTTAAGTAAAATTAAGGATTATCTAAAGTTATTAAAATTTAATAACGAGGTCATATCAAATTATTGAGATATTTTCTCGCATGTGTGCCTTAAAGACACCTCAAGATGTCTCGTTGCTATAGCTTGTAACATAGTGCTGATTGTAGAAAATGTTTATCAAGCATTAGTGAAGATTGATTATAACTTACTGTGCGCATGAAGGTTTGTATAAAAGTCTCGACCATGTAGTTAAGTTAAAGGGGGGCCTGTGTTTGCAAACAATTGTACTTTCCAACACAACTAATTCTTGAGTCTGTCGGTCAATCTTAAAGCATTTAGATAATTGTCACGTGATCGTATCTGTGCCCCAATCTTCGTGCATTTTACACGTTTGTATCAGCGCTCTATAAATTCAAATATGTACATATAATTGCTGATTTCATTCTGGCCAAGCGAACTGCCCCAATAATGCCGCACAATCTCGATTCCCTCTCCGATCTGTCAGTGTTGGCCAATGGCCTACAATTCGATCCTCTACCATCTCCACGTCCTCTTGACCCTAGCCTGTCACATGCACCGAAATTAAATCATGAATTGACACCAGAAGAATCAGTTCAGGCTGTCGTTAATGCACTGCGCTACTTTCCAAATCGTCTACATGCCCAACTCGCCGGTGAATTTGCTAGGGAACTGGAGACCTATGGCCACATCTACATGTATCGTTTTCGGCCTGATCGATGGCTTCTCAGGGCTAGGCCGATTAGCAAATACCCAGCCAAATGCCTTGAGGCCGCAGCTTTAATGTTGATGATATGCAACAATCTGGATGAAAGCGTAGGTAGAAGCACCGAATTGTCTTTTGTTAATAGTTCCATCTCTTGCATTTAAGCCTTTTTTACCACATTTTCAGACTTCTATTTGGATAGCATAAGATCATCCTATTTTGAAAGGTTTAGTCACATTAGTGAAATTTACTTCTAATTTTAATATCGTTATATCTTATTTGAAACTTTGCCCTTATGGAGAAAATATTCGTACACAATAATAGTTTAATTCAAATTAATATCATATAATAGCAGTTAAAATGAAACAAACTGATGTGTCTTTATGATTTAATGCAAATATTATTAAAAGTAATAATAATATTCCGCGTAAAGACTCAAAAGCTAAAAGCTAAACAGTCCGAACCTGTTTTAGAAATCAGGTTTATCTCACTAAGCCCACCAATTCATAAGACCTCTTCTTAAGATGATAAATACATTCGGAAAATATTAATAGCACTCCAGAAGACGTGATATATTTCCCTAAGTCTGTTTTTTTAATTTTATTAAGAAGTTTAAGCTGGTCTTCTCCTTAAGGCACCTTCTTTCCATTCTTAATAAAATAGTATAAACTTTGCTTTGCTATATGAAGCTCATTTTCAAAATAGAACATTATTTTTTTCACACCAAGCCGTCATCAAGTCAAGGTAACTAGCTATGCCCAATCATCAATTGAAT